TTTCTCTCACCCAAGATAGCCTTCATACATATGCTGTTTTTAAATTGTTATTGTTGGTCACGAGAGGCGTTCAGTCCAGCTGCAAGAAGAGGCCTAGTTAGCTATTCAAGCTGTTTGTAAGAATTTAACCTGGCCATTGAATAAAATTCGAATCCCCGAATGGGGATTCAGCAATTTGTTGGATTGGATGATAGAAATAAAAGGGCTTTTATAGTTAATGTTTCTAAACATGTGAGAGCAGATATTATTCCTTCCCCTTCATGGTTTCCATCCACTAAAGAGCAAGTGAAAAACTTCCTGGGAGCAAATGGATAGCATTCTTGGTTGTTTCCTGTGAAGCATTGATTTATTGCCTGTTACTGGAGACCGTTTCTGCTCTAGGCCATAGTTTTACACAGTGCATTAGAGGGTGTGGGCCTAAAAGTATTTGATTCAGAACCAGCAGTGCTTTGGGACAGGGGATCATTTTGATTTAGAGACACAGATTGACACGGGATGCAGTTTCAGTTCTGAATTGGAGCCTTGGATTAAATGAAAACAGAGCCTTCTCTCCATTTTTACACGAGTGTGGAAGAAATGTACACACAGGGCCTCTTTGGGGAGGTAATGACATCTGCCATATTACCAGCAAATAAACAGGGGATTTTGTGAAATAAATTTTGATATTCGTTTTCTTTGTAAAGTGTGCCCACTAGTTTTGAGGGGCAATTTGGTTTGAACTTTGAGTCCGGGTAGTCATTAATTTACAACCATTCATTTAAGGACCATTTGAAGTTGCAAGGGCACTGACTTATGGCCATTTTTCACACTTACAACCGTTGCAGCCTCCCATGGTCACAAGATCAAGTTTCAGCAGTTTGGCAATTGACATGCATTTATGATAACTACAGTATCCCAGAGTCAGGTAATCATTTTTTGTGAACTTCTGACAAGCAAAGTCAATGGGGAAGCCACTGTTGTACACTGCTGTACAACATAAAAGACAGCACATGTGACACAATCAGCTCTCAGCCCTTGTTCTTCCCTCCAGCCAGTTACACCACTGAACAGAGTTACAGGCCTCCCAATGTGCAGCAATTTTTGCAAAACTGTGAAATGTCTCCGAGAGGGGGCAGTCAAGGAGAAAATATTGAAAGAGACCCAGCTTCTAGGGCAGATCTGGGAAAACTTGAAAAGGAATCCTTCTCCCTAGATAGGCCACACTAATTAATATCTTGACTGTTAGTTAATCACAACCAAATATACCTTGTTCACACCCAGAACAATAGCTGGCTAGGTCAGCTCACTGCTAGCCTAAGGAAATGTATGCATGCTCTGACATACCCATGAAGGCGGGATGTTCCTTGTTTCCATTGTTCCTTGGATCTCTAGAAACAGGGCTCTGTGCGGACTCTAAGTCTTCTGGTTCCTTCAGAAGGAATGCAACTCCTTCCAGGAGTCCATAAATTATCTACTTACTGGACTTCGGAGCTACCCATTCAGAGAATCCCCTTATTATAAGGATACAAATTCAGTTTGGTTTGCCTTCATTAATTTACTTACTCCTAATTTATGATTCCAATGCAATAGACAACAGAAGTTTGATTTAAGGAGCCCTGGGGATATCATTCCTTGGCTGTAAAATAGATTCACTTTTGTAGGAGAAGGAATGGCAGAACCTAGGGGTAGAGTGAAAAAAGAGATCACCCTAGAATCCCTACATAGCCATTGATGCTTATCTAACTTTAGCCCAGGTCTTTACTGCCATTAGTTGAGAAGATTCCTGTGCATAGGCTTTCAGTAATAAAGCAACTTAATTGAACCTTACATGTAGACCTCAACTTTTGTGCCTGACAACTTACTTCTTCACTTCCCTTATCTTTGCTCACACAGTGAGTTTCTTATGCTAGAATGTCAGTACTTGTATCATTTTAGACCACTTTAGACTATAATCATCATAGTTTAAAGCTAATCATAGATTGCTTTATGTTTCATCAGAAGCAAATGCATAATTCTAATAAGTATGGCCAATGAGGAAGGGCATTTATATTTGAACCTACAGTTGCATACAATCATACATATTTTCTGGGTTCCTATCCATCAATGATTTTTTTTTTCAATATTGAAGTGATATGGTGATGATACATAAGTATAACCTCTGGTCACGAACGTTTCTGACCCCAACCAAATCAGGTTCCGACCAAAAAATTCACAAAAAAATTTTTGCAGCTAATTTCCTCTTTCGCGCCATTTTTTTATTTTTTTATTTTTTGTAAGAGCCAGATTTCCAAAATTAGGTTCGAGTCACGACCAAATTGGTTTGTGACCAAAGTTATGGAACAAATTATGGTCGTAACCAGAGGTTCTACTGTATACTGATTAACAATTTACCTAGCTGGTACTTTCCCTGTGTATTATATTATAGCTTTTTATCAGGTTGCTCTTTAAGATTTTCTTCTTTGTAAAACAAAGAGCCTCAAATGCTTTGTCATCTGATCTGGATCTGTAGTAATCAGAACATTGCAAAGTCACTATGGCTAATCAATGAATTAGTACCAGATGTCCAGTCAATTATAATAGACCTTTAAGGCTTGAGGGATCCTGAAGTTGAGGGGGGTGGAATATTCACGTGACATAATCAAACATTCCGAAGAAATGAGGTTGTACCCTTTCAATTGTGGTGTCCCCCATCCCTAGAAGAAATGAAATCTACATATTAGGGTATGAAATAGCTTTAGAATCACTCCATCAAGTAGTGCCATCTGGATACCTCATAGGAGCAAGCAAGCAACATCCAACCACGTTTTGGATGAACAGAATTAGGGTGGATCTTTGTTTTTTCTTCCAAAAGGTGTGCCAGTTCCACCTCTCTTGTCTTGGAATGAAGCCAAGGTAATGCTCATAACTGCTGGGTAGTGAGCTAGAAACAGCATTAACATATGCTACGCTGGGTGAATGTAGACAGAATTAGAAGGACAAACATCAGCGAGAGAGTGCAGAAAGTTCTGGGCTGAAGCAAAACAGCTTTCAGGGAGGAAGAGCCAACATTTCCCAAGCAGAATTTTGTTTAGACATATGTACATGAAACATTTTTCACCTGAATTAGCTGATTGTATATATGTATGGGATCTGCTTCTAAAATTAATCCATCTTGCTCAAACCAATGGAATTGTCACAGTCACATTTACTGCTGAGCGGAAAGAGGTGGAGGGGACTATGATGATTCATTTGGGGGGGGGCAAGATTTCAATCTGCTCTAGAAATTACTTTCTGTAGCAAAAGTTCAAATCTGACACCTATTAAATAACAGTAAAGTTAGTACTTTTCATTGTTTAAAGTGTCCTTTCCCTTCCACTGGTGTAAGAAATCATCCCCTGTGTTTACCAGTTTAAAAATTAAGCACTCAATCCAAAAGTTTGAGATCAGTTTTCAGACTACGTTCATTCAGACACTGATGTATATCTGCATCAGCTTCAATTCTTAATCCTAGATTCCATATTTGTTGTATGCAGCCATGGGAATCATATCCAAATCTACAGAAACGTCAGCTGTTGATTGCAAATACATTTGCATGTCCTTCTCAAGTACCAAACGAAGAGCAATACTACTCTACCCCCAATATTGGACCTCATTGTTGAAATAGAATGGAGCAGATAGACAGACAGAAACTTTAGTTAGGTCATTAACCAATAAAAATACAATCAATAAAATAGATTGATTGAATGAACAATACATAACTATCCCCTAACAACAAGAACTATCAGCAACCATTTGTTAACAAAGCTTATGCATAATGTAGCAAAATTTTGCTACTTTTAGAGAAATAGGCTCATCTTGATTTTTAAGCAGATAGTGCAAATAAAACCTACCAGAAATTTAAATTAAAAATGGGTAATCAACTGGTGGCAAATGTCCCTGTAGAACTGGCAATACAGAAAACATGAGCTGCGGTTTCTATGGTAGCCATATCACAGGGACAGTATAGAATTTCTTATGGGCTTTTTCTATACTTTCCTTCCAGAACAAGGCATTTTCCCAGCATTCATGAAAGTCCATTCAAGTTCTTGCAATTTACCTTACTGAAAGGTAAGTACTTTGTCTTCAGAAGTGGTGGCAGTTCCGAGATTACAAGCAGGAATACATTAGTTCCAAACCTAAGCACTAAACACTCATAAGCAATTTTGGAAATATATTAATCTTTCTAAGAACTTCCAGTGTCTTGAAAGTTGCTTTTCACAGATACAACTGGACTTACTATGAAGACCTCCAACCACTGATGTTGGACGTGTTTACTGCATTCCCACATTTTTTTTTTAATTAGATTTATATGCCGCTCTTCTCCGGAGACTCAGGGCGGCTTACAATGCGTTAAGCAATAGCCTTCATACTTTTTGTATATTTTATACAAAGTCAGCTTATTGCCCCCACAACTGGGTCCTCAATTTACCTACCTTAGAAAGGATGGAAGGCTGAGTCAACCTTGAGCCTGGGGAGATTCGAACATGCAATAATTGCAGACAGCTGAATGTTAATAACAGGCTTTTAGTCTGTTGAGCTACCATTTACATCATGGTAAATGTGAATTTAAGCACAATCAAAACTTCCCAATGCTATTATGAAATATGTTTAATTCAATTGTGTAAAGATATAGTTTTCTCCTTCGTTATAATAAAAAGCTTTTTTAAAATGGGCAGAGATTTTCATAGTTGAAACTCCCCGTTCCTTATCCACTGTCTGTTTTTTTTATTATTTATTTCTGCAACAGGAACCTGAAACACTCAGTTTGGTACTGATCTGTAGCTTTTAGGAAGTTGTTTCAGAAAAAGAAGACACAGAAAAACGACATGATTGATTTCGAGAACACCAATGTATTTTCAGGACATCATTTTCTGTGCAAAACATTACTTCATTTCCCATATGTTCTCTCTCTCATGACTATGATGCGGTGTCCATAAAATTAATTGCTATTCCACATTTATTGCTGAAAAGCCTACTTATCTAGAGCTTGACAAGATGCTTACCGTTCTACCTTTTTATCAGTGTTTCTTTCCTCTCCCATTTTTCCCTCTTCCAAGGGGAAGATACTTCGGAGTGCACAGAGAGCTTCTTGACTCAGTTGTTTGTGCAATTGCTGTTTTGTTGTTGTTGTTGTTGTTGTTGTGGCTGTTGCTGCTAAGACTCTAGAGTTGAATGATACAAAAATAATTGCAAAACCAGTCAATATATGTAGCTGTGGGAGGCAACAGTGCCTGGGGCTGAACCAAGGGATGAAGACAGTGGTAACGGGGGGGGGGGAATCATACCCCATCCCCCCCAAAAAACAGATGAGATAGAATAGAATAGAATAGAATAGAATAGAATAGAATAGAATAGAATAGAATAGGGTAGGGTAGGGTAGGGTAGGGTAGGGTAGGGTAGGTTAGGGTAGGGTAGAATAGAATAGAATAGAATAGAATAGATAATAGAATAGAATAGAATAGAATAGAATAGAATAGAATAGAATAGAATAGAATAGAGTAGGGTAGGGTAGGGTAGGGTAGGGTAGGGTAGGGTAGAATAGAGTAGAATAGAATAGAATAGAATAGAATAGAATAGAATAGAATAGAATAGAATAGAATAGAATAGAATAGAATAGAATAGAATAGAATAGAATAGAATTTTTTATTGGCCAAGTGTAATTGGACACACAAGGAATTTGTCTTGGTGCATACGCTCTCGGTGTACATAAAAGAAAAGATGAGATAAACGTTTGTAAAGCATCTACAGGTTCAGTGCATATTGCCATTGTTTTGGGCCTTTCTATCTGAATGATTGTTCCCATTTGGATAAAAGGCTGGTAAAGAGGAGATAAAAATATGGCCTGTTCACCAAAGAAAGATGGCATCATCTGAAAGCTCCATTGTGTGTATATGTTTTGACTCCTGGCAACTGCCTGGAGAAGTCTCTGTAGTTTTCTTGGCATTTCATTTCTTGGCATTTCAGAAGTGATTTGCCATCACTTGCTTCCTATGGCTAAGACTGACTACTAGCCCAAGGTCACCCAGCTGGCTTCCTGTCTAAGGCAGGACTAGAGCTCACATTCTCCTGCTTTCTAACCGATGCCTTAGCCACTACCCCAAACTGGCTCGGAAGCTCCATTAAATTGCTGCAATTAACCATCTGCTTTGCACATTAGAAAGTCCAACTGGACATGGCTTAAGCAAGCAGTTCCACTACAGTCATATAATTCATTGTAACTTCCTGTTTTCTTTTGTAACTGTGGATGAGGAGAAACAGAAAAGCAACTAATCTGAGCTTTTGACTTGCTGTTTTTGGCTTTCGGATTCCCTGACAAACTTAATTTGACAGTGGTCAGAATACATTCTTAATTCCAGCCCCAACCACAAAACCTGGTCAACATCAAACTATTTTTGTTTATTACAAGGAAGCTGTTACAAAGTGTCCCATTTGATTTTTTTTTTTCTCTCAGTGAAATCACAGCTCTCGGACATTCAAAATGGCAAATGTTAAATATTTATGCAGACAGGCTTGTTCCTATAAAATAATTAGAACATCTTAAAAATCATTAGTGATTCAGGGTGGAATTCAGTTGCATTTGTTGAAGGACAATCAATCAATCATTTGTGGTACAGGCGTATGGCAGTTCTAGCAATGCATAAACACTGTCTGAAGAGCCACTATATATGCATTTAGAAAGCCTGCATCTAATGCCGAGTTTTGCCTTGTAATCAATGCCATCTGTCCTGCTTGAATCTTTTAATTTTTGGAATTGTATAGCGATCTATTTCTATGCCATGAAATGATCTGGCCTTTGTTTTACTATATATCTATACATATACATATAGACACAGACACAGACACAGAGACACACACAAGCATTGTCAGTATTCCAGCACTTAGACTGCATTTTTTTCAGCAATGGCTGGTCTATTGGGCACTCAAAAGACTCTGGTGATTAGATAATCCAGAATGACTACAAATCCAAGAACAAGGGCTAGCCAAAATCTGCTAGGCACGAGTTGGACATTCAGCCATGAATTGCATCATCCTCTCCTCCAACATTTCCACCAAAACCTTAACTCTGCTAACCTTTTAAGTACAACGATGACATATTTTAATTAGTTCCTCCAGACTTCTTCCAATTTGGCCTGAAATAAATGAGGAAATGGGGCCTACAGCTGAAACAAATTGACCATATTGTGCTTGCATATAAAATTTGATTATTTGTACAACCGAATACATAACTGAATTTGACATTCCCAATTCAAGAATGTATTTCCTTCATTTTCATTGGTCCTTTACTACTCCTTTAGGCACAACTCAGGCAAAGATGTGTATTTTAGTCCCATGGATTTTAATGGAAAATCTTAAGTATATGCCTAGATTTTTCCCATATCACTGAATGAAACCTTAAAAGGTAGGCGTTTGCTGAGTATATCTATTGACTTAGACAGAGTGTTATGCCCTTGCTTCTAGATTTCAATAAGCTCACACCTTTATCACTCTGAAACAAGTGGGACATAAACCTATTGTATCACACTGCATAACAAAACCAAAGCATCAAGTACACACACAGAGAGAGAGAGAGAAATCTTATGAAATGCAATAGATGACACACATACTACTACAATACACATAATACTGCAACAAGAATGTAAGTGGTAAAAATGTTGATTCTGAAATCTACATTTTTATGTCAGTTGCTTTCTCAGGGCACATAATGTATCCCTTTCATATCTTCAAGATCATAGTCATTGTTATAAAATCCAACGTTTTAAAATACAGACCATTTGCTGAATGTAAAATCAGCTTCTAGTTTTTATGTTAGAGCCAGCCACTTTTATTTTTTCTTCCCCAACAGCAAAGGTTATTAAGTACAAGCATGTATGAAATTACACGGCTTTAAATCCAACATTAGCCCAAGCAAATGTCTGCTATTCCTAGTAGTCAATTGCTAAGCAAATGTCTACTATCCCTAATAATCCTAGGGTAGTCAAGAGCAACAGATCATAGCCTTGGGATATTTGTGTTCTTTGCTACTCACATCAACAAAGTAATTTACTGTTGCCTGGCTCCTAGTTCCATCACAGTCACAACATTCACAACTTTAATATTGTGTGATGCTGTGGTGAAGGATTTCAAAGAAGATAGGATTATTGTCTAATTGGATTTCTGTTGCCAATAAGAAAAAAGATTAGTGGGGGAAAAAACTAAATCAAACCCCCACATGAAAGTTTTTCTACATCTTTAATAACTGCTAGATAGTTTATGAAGTACCCAACCCAGGATAGAATTTATAATCTGAATTCAGGTGATTGTCTAGAATTGTAGTGTTTACCTTACATATATTTATATATAGACAAAATAGTTCTCGGGCTTAGAGGTGCCTCCTTTTGTGCGGCAGAGCAAAACGAAGCAAAAATAGTTACAAAGATCGCCTGTGGGAGATATAATGCTAAGACTCATAATCTCTGCTATCTTCCTGTTTTCAAAATGCAAATCAAGCATGTCAGCACATGTTTGATTTTTCAGGGGAAAATGAGGGCAGCGGAGGGACAGGGAGACAGACTTACAGACTACAACCCCTCTCTCTGACGCTTGGTTAAAAATACATATGAAAGCCCAAACAGTTTGAAATTGAAATCAAACCATGTTTGGGAAGTAACAAACAGTTTAAAGCTAGGATTTGGGTGTTGGCCACATGTTGCGCGTCAGAGGGGCCACGTGAAGCTAATTATTGCAGGCCAAGGATTTGCAAAGCTGCTGAAACATTTCCACATGGTGACTAACCCTGGAGACAACTAGGGCAATCTGGAACTGGGGGAAACAAACAATCAATACTTGGGCATAGCAGTAATTATTAAACATAGACATTGATGTAGGTCACATAAAAGCAAAATCTCTACCCATCTATGTCAGACTGGAACTCTGTCGGCTCATTACTGGGATGTATGGAATACACTTTTCCTTTTCAAATGGAAAAGTGAATCAGCTTTCAAAAGGAAAAATAAAACGCACCCATCTTGATCTTTGCTTCCTAGGAATGCTTGTAAGTACAGGTAGTCCTCCACTTACAACAATTCATTTAGTGACGATCAAAGTTACATCATGTGATAAAAATTCAGATGCTTGGCAACTGGTTCATATTTATGACCATTGCTGTGTCCCAGGGTCACCTTTTGCAACCTTTTGACAGATTCACTTAACAACTGAGTTACCGTGTTTCCCCGAAAATAAGGGGAAATTTTTTTGATCCCTGAAATAAGCGCTTGGCCTTATTGCCATGCGCTCAAAAGCCCGATTGGGTTATTATCAGGGGATGTCTTATTTTGAGGGAAACAGGGTACTAACTTATCAACTGCAATGATTCACTTAACAATGGTGGCAAGAAAGGTCATAAAACGGGGTAAAACTCACTTTACAAATGTTTCACTTAACAAAAATCTTAGGCTCAATTGTGGTCCTAAGTCGGTGGTCTTGGATAAGGACTGTCCTGTTTAGCAACCATCTGAATTGCCAACAGCACTGAAAATCTGCTTTACAACTGGTCTAAGTTAGCTATTCACCAGGATGGTAATCATAAAAATGAAGATTCCGAGTTCGTATTTCACTTTCTCTGTTAGCAGGAACTTTGATTTATGCAGCATTCACATTTACCTTAAGGGCTACAGGCAACATTGTTTAAATACATGATTTAAAATCAATGTTTACCCTTACTTAACAAACCATAGCACATATCTGCATTGACCGTTTTGGTACCCGTGGGGCTAAGCTATTGTTTTAATCAGTTGCTTTAATAAGAGCCAAGGTATGCTGCATTCATAGAGTTCGGCGCTTAAATTTATCCTGGAGTGGTGGCAGAATTCTGAACTTCTGCAAATAAAACTGTCAGATCTGATAATGCATTTGTAATTTTTTGAACAGTAAACAAAACACTTAAATATTTTTAAAGAATTTTTCTTACATTTTTACTATGAAGGGAAATATTATGTTTAAAAGAAACCTTATCTATTTTCAGAGGTGTACTCACAGTTTCAACACCTAAAGATGTTTTCTATAATCACACTATTTTAATTGCTCCAATACTAAACACAATTTTGTGCATGCTTCTTTCTCAGCCTTGTTAGCTGAAATTCTTTGAAATGAAAACATAATGAAATTAATTCAACTGCTACTTTAT